ATACAGATCGAAATGCCAATTCTGGAAACAGAAGTTGAGGCAGCAGCAGTGACCAAAATAAAAATCGCTAAAGTTTCCAGCAGAACTTATAAAACAAATGGACAAGAATGGGATAAAATGTTTGACTAAAATATGTAATCCTATATATTTCAAAGGAAACCTTCCCATTGATTAAAAAATATCAATATTTATATTATCTGTATCACCTGAAAAGTCAGGAGCCTCAGAGTGCACCCAGTTTAGAATAATAAACTTAATAATTCATGTTTACCAAATTGTATTAAACATTATTTTGAATAGAATAAAATTTAGAGTGAGTTTATCTGAAGAGCAAAATGGATTTATAAATGAAAAAGGAACTAGAGAAGCTATATATGGTTTGGAAATTGTGAGTGAAAGGGCTTGTACATTAGCTTTGTTGATTTTGAAGAAAAAACAATTATATGGTAAAACACAACAAACCTTGGAAAAATACGCATTAATGAAGGATATATATTAGAATTTTAAAGAATCTTTACTGGCAACAGGAACCTGCAGTGCTAGTGAATAATGAACTTATTATTTGGATCACAGACGGGGAGTAAGACAAGGCTGTGTTCCATCTCCAACATTGTATAATATATATTCAGAATTCTTAGTGGGAGAAGATATACATAATAATGAAGGACTAAAAGTTAATAGTAAAGTAATATCAAATATACGCTATTCACATGATACTGATCTTATCACAAATAGTAGAAACGCATAAAACAACTCGTTAATAGATGAAAAAAGGTGAAAAATATGATTTAAAAGTTAATGCTGTAAAGACTAAAGTAATAGTTGTTTCCAAACTGGAAATAAATTCTAAAATAAAAATTATGGTAGGTAACAGGGAACTTAAACAAGTGGAAAAATTTTGTGTATGTGGGAAGTAACATTAGCTGTGATGGTAGATGTACGAAAGAAATCAAAAGAAGAATAGGGCAAGTAAGAACAGCATTTAGTAATCTAAAACACCTGATGAAAAGGGACATTACCTTCATTTTGAGAAAAAAGGCTGCTGAAAGTAATTTTATGGCAAGGGCTGATGTATGGGTCGGAAGCGCGGATACTTTCAGAAGACATCAGAAAGAGGTTGGAGGCCTTTCAAATGTCGCGTTATAGGCGAATACTAAGCATAAGCTACACTGACAGGATAACAAATGAAGAAGTATTAATATTAGTAAAAACTTCAAGAGAAATACTTGAAATGTACAAAAAAAGAAAAATTAGATACTTTGGTCATATAATTAGGGATGAAGGGATAATAACGGAAATTATTAATGGACAAAGTTGAATGTAGGAGGGTCAGGGGAAGGCAGAGACTGGGATGGATGAATGAAATTAAAAAAATCCCAAGTCCATCAACAATTACAGGCTATGAGAGATGTGATTTGTGTGCGTTATGTTGAATAAAAGATGGTCAAACGTATGTGTGTGCAGTAAAACCTCCTCTAGTTCAAATTAGTCTATCTGTAGAAGGCATTCATTGTAAACAAAAAAATGTGTGTATTTTATAAGGTAATTATTTGTTTCGTTTTATTCACAATTATGTCACAAAATTATCGTTTTCTAATTATTGCAGCGAAGTCATCCATAATAAGTTTAAGGAAAGTGTAGTTTGATAGCCACTGGATATTTTCTTAACCCCAAACTCGCGATGTGCTCCGATATATTGTACTGTACAATATTTTTTTAAGCTTTCCAAAGAATTCTTCACCGGTAAAGAGAGAATTCTTTATGACTTTTCTCACTTTCTTGCCAGTAATAAAATATAATCTTACTTTTTAATTTTCATAAATATGCCTTACACTATGTGGAGTATATCTTATAAAATATATTTGAGTTTTTCTTCGTTCTTTTTTTTTTTTTACGTTTTGTCGTATATATATATTTTCCAAAGGTATGTTTTGCTGAGTCTATGTAGTTTTTGCACCATCTCATCTAATATGTACCAGAATATTCTCATGCTCATGGGTGTGAATACCTCCGGGCAGTAATGTACGGCTATGTCATTAATAATTGGGGAAGTATGCCATAAAAAGTCACGCTGGCCCGAGGTGGGTTAGCAAGTAGCCCTCACACTGGTCTGTTATCTTGCTTCGTTTTTACAATAATTCTGTCTCGCTTTCCACTCTAATCCCCTTATTGTACATCATCAAGAATACCCACTTATCTCGCGGGTATATTCTGGAACATTTAAGAAAACAAATAAAAACAATTAAAGTCTTACAAACCGGCCATGCATGATATAAATAGGAAATAAATACACGCACTTCCCACAGGTTGGCAACACGGGGCTAAGAAGGGTTGAATATGTTCGTGAAGTGGCGTGTGTGTGAGGTCAACAACACAAATTTGTAGGCAGTATGAGGTATACTGTACAGGACACGGGTTTTACAATGTTATTACTATTTACTCTGTTAACAGTCATTTTTAGTGCTCCAGTAATTGATCACGACATTAGACTCCTACTAGATTGCTATATCACAAAAGCCGAGAAGCCACTGAGTTATTGTGAGGCTCTCGTGTGTGAAAATAAATACCTATTTGGCAACATAATCTAACCAGGCACTCCCTTTTTATTCCTGTCACTTAGTGTCTTTCTTGTGCCGTATAACCACCATCAATACAAATCATCCTGCTTCAAATGTCTTCAGGAATAATATCTACCTAATTTAGCTAATGGTCACCCCAACTAAAGGTGGCCAAGACGAGGAAAGGTGGCCATGACCTGTATAGGATCTCCCATTGTTCTTGAGAGTCTTCTCAGAACCTCTTTATTGCTTCTAAGACTTCAGCGGGTAGCCTGTTCCACTGGTCTCCACCCTCCGGGTGAAAAAGTACTTCCCTATATCCGTCCTGCATAACACCTTGGCGAACTTGAAGTTGCGTCATCTTGTATTGCGTCATCTAAAAACCAATAATCTGGGTTTGTCTGCCATCTCTTTCAAGATTTTGAATGTGTCTATGGGATCCGTCCTATTGTGTCTTAACTGGAGAAATATCAGTCTTGAGGCCACCAGTCTACTTGGATAATCAAGACGATTCAATTCGAATAAGTTTCTTCGCTCTGCGCTGTACCTGTTATAAGAATGCTGCCTGGATATTAGGTCTCCATGGTTCCATACAATCGTCCAGGTGGGGACACACGAGACTTAAGAAGTTGAAGGAGCATTTTCTTATCTTTAGATTTGAAGATATGTTTTGTAATTCCTAAATTTTGCCTGCCTTTTTTCACTGCTGCTCCCAATTGTTGCGCTGCCTTCAGTAATTGGTTAAACGGATAGACCTTATCACAACACCTAGATCTTTTTTCCATATCAATAGTTTAAAAAAAAGTAATTATCTCAGCTCACATTAAGCTGGGATACAGGCCGATCTGATAAGTATCTGAGGCGGAAAATGTCGTGCATTTTTTTTCCTGTAAACTGATTAACAGTCCCACAACTCATACTCATCTGCATGTTGCCTAGAAATCTAGAATGCACCATTGTGAAGGACCTTCTGCCACAGGACGACTAATTGATTACAACAGTGAAGGCGGGGGTAAAACAACATGAGTGATAATGCCTCGATGGCACAAAAAAAAAACAGAAGTGTCAATCTCTCCCCTGTAGCTGAGAGTTCTAAAACATTGTGATGGTGAGGCACGGGCGTACAAAATTTGTTTGTCCACCAGGCTGAGTGCATCACTAATATCACTGTTAGAGAAGAAGAAAAAAATAAATATTCGATGAAAAGAAATCAACTCTGCAGAAGGAATAGTAGAATATGAAGAAGACATGAGGGCTTATCAGTGATATCCAATTGCCAGCGTGTTACCAGCTCATCACTAGTGGTTTTAACATCTTTCCTCTTCTTGGCAAGCTCCTGCATGACATAAAGTGAACAATAGAAGTGTTATGATAATATTAACGACAGATGGTTACATTTACACAGGTAATTCCTGGTTCATTTGCGTCTGAAGGTGAGTATCTTAGCCAGGATAGTGTGGTGGTCAGGATGGGGTACACACCTTGGTCAGGATAGTATGGTAGTCAGGATGGGGCACACAACTTGGCCAGGATAGTATGGTAGTCAGGATGGGGTACACACCTTAGTCAGGATAGTATGGTGGTCAGGATGGGGTCAGATAGTATAGTATGGTAGTCAGGATGGGGCACACAACTTGGCCAGGATAGTATGGTAGTCAGGATGGGGTACACACCTTAGTCAGGATAGTATGGTGGTCAGGATGGGGCACACAACTTGGCCAGGATAGTATGGTAGTCAGGATGGGGTACGCACCTTGGCCAGGATAGTATGGTGGTCAGGATGGGGTACACACCTTGGCCAGGATAGTATGGTAGTCAGGATGGGGTACACAACTTGGCCAGGATAGTATGGTAGTCAGGATGGGGTACACACCTTGGTCAGGATAGTATGGTAGTCAGGATGGGGCACACAATTTGGCCAGGATAGTATGGTAGTCAGGATGGGGTACACACCTTGGCCAGGACAATTGTACTAGTCTGTGGTGCCACCTTGTATTCTATGTTTGCAGTTGTCTCAGAGTACTTCATGTTCACCCAAACACTATAAGTTTTGTTTTTTTCATTATTACCAAAACTATAGCACAATCTATTGGTGATAATGACGGAACAATCGATAATTGACCACTGTCCTTTTACGAGAAAATATAGAAAGTAATTTAAAGAGCTCCTCCAACATGTCTGTCGCGTGTGAGACACAAGGTTTAAGTCCACTGAGGGCTGGGCACTTGGTAATGACCTGTGACAAATCAGAGGTGCGAGGAAGACGTGGGAAAGTGATGTAGCACGTGATAAGGAAGTGACAAGCTATGCTTAGTGGCCTTTTATATAGTTGTACTACTGTCGGTATGTTGATAGAGACTATTACAAAATGTGGTAGTGAGGATGGGGTACACATCTTGTGGCCAGGATAGTGTAGTAGTCAAGATGGTGTACAGTACAGACCTTAAACACGTTATCGTGGGTACTAGCATGATGTGCGGAGACTCGAAGGTAACTTCACTGCCCTCATGTTTACGACGGAAGGTGGAGCCAGATGCAAGAGTGTGACTCGCCAGAAGCACCAGAAGTAGCACTCTCACCCACATCTTGTCTCTTGGTCACTCGCTAACACTCTCCTTGCTTCTGAGGTTGATTTGTGGCTATTGAGTCAGTCAAGTGGTCGGTGAGCATAGGTAGATGATTCTAAGTGCAGCAGGTGGACCATAAACACGAGTGGTTGTAGTGAAAAAGTTGGGCCACAGACTCGAACGGTTGACGTGCACTTCAGCCACTGACTGACTAAGTTGCCTACCAGGCTCACCGCCTCACCTCCCCGCGTCTACTGACCTTCACTGCCGTCACGCTTTATGTCACTTCGTGTGACACAGGAGTTTTATAATAGTGAATGAAGCCAAGAAAAATGAGAACGTTTGGTTTTATATGCAGCGCACTTCTATATTTCATGCACACTTTGCACAAATTAGCGTAACATTTGTAGTTATCACCGTACCATCCAGTGTTATGTTGAGGTGTATTAGACTAACTTGGATTAGTTCAGAATATTTTAACATTGTGGAGCGCTGGAAAGAGCACTACCATTCATTGCTCAACCGAAACACCGATGTGGGTGTCCTGACTACCCAGCAGGTCCTTCAGCATCCACAGCTGACCCACCTCAGCTATCCTCCATCCCTGGATGAGGTAGCTACTGCCATCTAACAGATGAAAAATAACAAAGCCTCAGGGCCTGATGGAATCCCAGCCGAGATGTATAAAGCAGGAGGACCTCCACTCTCTCCTGGAGAACATTTGGGAAAAGGAGGAAATCCCCCAAGCTCTTAAAGATGCAAAGACGCCCCCATTGTCAATATTTATAAGAACAAGGGGACTGGTTAGGTTGTGGCAACTACCGTGGGATCTCGTTGCTCTCCGTAGCTGGCAAAATTATAGCCCGAGTCCTCCTAAACAGACTTCTTCCTGAGGCGGAAAACTTCTTCCCAGAATCTCAATGTGGTTTAAGACCATCACGTGACACCACTGACGTGATCTTTGCTGCCCGCCAGATACAGGAAAAGTGCAGAGAACAGCATCGTGACCTGTACATGGCTTTCATCGACCTAACCAAGGCCTTCGACTCGGTCAACAGGGAAGCCCTCTGGTGGACCCTCAGCCGCTTTGGCTGCCCACCGAAGTTCATCGCCATTGTGAGGCAACTCCACATGGCATGAACGGCAGTGTCCTGCACAACGGCACCCAGCCAGAGTTCTTCCCCATCCAAACAGGGGTTAAACAAGGGTGTGTACTGGCACCAACTCTCTTTTCCATCTTCTTGGCTGCCTTCCTTACTCGTGCCAGTGCCAATTTAGCCAGCGAGGTGAACATCGAATACCGGGTAAAGGGGGGTCTTTTCAACATAAGACGACTTCAGGCAAGAACAAAGGTGTCGGCAGTTTCCATTACTGAACTTCAGTATGCCGACGACCTCACCCTTGTTGCTCACGCTGAACACGACCTACAGGAGATCCTGAACACCAATGCAGACGCGCATGCACACTTCGGCCTTGAGTTGAATGTACGTAAGACTCGGAATCTCTTTCAACCTGCCCCTGGCTTAGACACACCTCCACCATCCATCCAGCTTAACGGCACTACTCTCTAATGTTGCCCACTTTCGGCATCTCGGCTCCCACCTGTCCACCACCGCAGAAATCGATGAAGAAATTCAGCATCGGATCATATGTGCATCTCACGCCTTGGGCTGACTCCGAAATCGTGTCTTCAGCTGTAGGGAGCTGAAATTATCCACAAAGTTGCACGTATATCGAGCAGTGGTCCTGCCCACCCTACTATATGGCACTGAGACATAGGTCACATGCAGGAGGCACCTCAAGGCACTTGAAACCTTTCACCATCGTAGTCTACGTTCCATCCTCCGAGTTCGCTGGGAAGACAAAGAGAACAAATGCCAGCATTCTTGCTGACACCAACTGTTGGAGCATGAACAACTACGTTGGATTGGCCATGTTACCCGCACGGACGACTAGATTCTGCCAAAGCAGCTACTTTACAGTCACCTAAAGAATAGTAAACGTAACGCTGGTGGGCAATTGAAAAGGTATAAGGATAGTCTTAAGACAAACCTGAAAAGGTGCCAAATCGACCCCCTGACCTGGGAGTCGATTACTCCACATCGTAACGCTTGGAGGAGCACCACACGGGAAGGTGTCAATACTTTCGAGTTAGCCAGACTGCAAACCGAGGCAGATAGGCGCCAACGTCGGAAAGACGCTGTCACCGCCCCTCCCACAATAGGTGGAGCCCTCCACATGTGCAACGAATGTGGACGACGCTGCCGGTCCCGTATCGGCCTCTTTAGTCACCCCAACACTCACTAACCTAGGTGACATCCCTAATAACCCATATCATTTTACCAAAGCTGGATGATCGTCATACTAAATTCCAAGTGACAGCAAAGTAGTAGTAGTAGTGTGTGAGTGTGCGTGTGTGTGTGTGTGTGCGTGTGTGTGTGTGTGTGTGTGTGTGTGTGTGTGTGACTCAAGAAACTAGGTATGCATGTTTTATGGGCTATTGAACATAATAAGAATGGTTTTATTTTAAGATAACTAACATGTACGAATGTAATCAGTACGAGGGCTGAGAGGCTGCCCTTGTCCTTTGACGGCGGGGGAGGGGGGGAGCAGGACTATAACCAGATGTTTTCCGAGGACGAACTCGATCGTGCTTTGGAATTCTGTAAGAGTTCCAGTCCTGGACCGAATGGGATCACATTCAACATGTTACAGCACCTGAGCTAAGGTGTTCCTAGTCTCTTGTAGAGTTGCGCATGTCGTACCTATTCCAAAAACGAGTCACGACCCTATGAACCCAAGTTCGTTCCGACCTTTAGCGCTCACGAACTGTCTATGTAAAGTAATGGAAAAATATATATAAAACGTTGTCTATGTTCCTCTCAAAAAATACTAAACGATCAACCATCTCGCAGAAGCACACTAGATCTCTTAGTAAGGCTGGAATCAGATATTCAAAAGGCCTTTAAAAGTTAAAACCAGACAATTCTTAATTAGCGTATTTTAGGTACAGAGAAAACCTACGAGTCTACGACATGAGTTGGTGAACTGGAATTCTCATGAAGTTTCATGCTTTCAGTTTCAGAGGCCATTTACCCAATTTCATGAAAAACTTTTCTTCGCTACTGAAACTTCACTGTCAAAATTTCCAAAGCTAATGTAAAATCGGACTCATTTGTCCTAGAAAATGGGGTACCCCAGGGCGGCGACTCAACAGTGGGCGACAAAGTGGGTTTTTTGGTTCTCGACCTCACAAAAAAATAGAAGTTGTCTTTAATTTAAAAAAGGTCTCCTTTAAGGCCAGCAGTCCATATGTATAATAGCTACTGCTATTGTGTTTCAAAATTCTCTCAAATTTCTTGGCCCAATTTTTAATAAACGGCTCAGTTGGAAAGAGCACATTATTAACGTAACACAACAAAAAACAAAAATCTAATTTATATATTAAAAAATCCTTTGTGATTACTAGGTAGTAGGTAGTAGGCAGCTACCAAACAGGGAGGTACTACCGCCTGGGAAGATATTGGAAACATAAAGTGTTGTCTAATGGTAGACCTAGACCCTGCTGCCATATGTCATCACGAAAATTGTGACCAAGTCCCAGGTTGCTGATCTGACTTTCTGCCTCATTTACACACAATTACAGGGTCTCAATTGTTTCTCTTACTACTGACAACACAACATACATATATCGTTTCTCACTTTTTTTTTGTATTTATTTATGGGTCATTATTATTATCATTTTTATTTTATTTATTTTTTTATTATAAATTTTATTTGCGGTACTATGAATTATTATTATTATTATTATTAACCTGTATTGTTATTGCATTTTCGACGCCCAGGCCCCAATGTGGATCAGTGACCAGTGCCAAGGTAAACTAATCTCCGTAAAAAAAAAAAAAAATAATAATAATAATAATAATAATAATAATAATAATAATAATAATAATAATAATAATAATAATAATAATAATAATAATAATAATAATAATAATAATAATAATAATAATAATAATAATAATAAATCAAAAGATAAAAAAATACTGTTTTATGCATTACAAGATCTCAAAACAAGGTGTCTATGAAATCACTGATGTAGTGTTTAAAACATTCCTGTAATAGCACCTGTTAAGTACCTTGACAGTTAAACATTATATAAATACAAGCTAGGTGACTTTCAAGTGACCTGTCCTTACCAGTGTTTTACTGACCTGACATTTTCTACCAGGATACAGTTGAGTGACAGCCTGACACAGAGTCTCTCAAACGTGTCACAGAGTCCATACTCTGGCTGTACTCCTCTTTTCTCAGATAACAAAAGCTAACAGTTAAGTGAGTAATTAGTGGCCAAAATGACCCTTGAAACATTTTATTGACATTTTCAATGCTAATTGCTCATCAACTATGGGTTTCCAAGGTGTGGTTTAGGTTTTGTGTGTTATTCTGAAAGTACTTAATTAGTTAAACCCTTTAGATTTCAATTCTAAGAAAAAAGCATATTTTGGTCAAAAATTTTGTAAGGTGTAAGTAAGACTTACATTGTTGGTAGTTTTTGGCCAAAAATTTGAATTTCTTGAAAATCACAGTATGGGTACTCCTGAGCTTCCTGATTATGAATCTGTGCTAGACATTTCGAGTGTAGACTAATTAGTGGCCAAAATTACACTTGAAACAATTTACTGACATTTTTCAATGCTAATTACTCATCAACTATGGGTTTCCAAGGTGTGATTTAGGGTTTGTGTGTTATTCTGAAAGTACTTAATTAGTTAAACCCCTTAAATTTCAATTCTGAGAAAACAGTACATTTTGTTCCAAAATTTTGTAAGGTGTAAGACTTACATTTTTGGTGGTTTTTGGCCAATAATTAGATTTTGCTGAAAATAATCGTATGGGTACTCCTGAGCTTGCTGATTATGAATATGTAGTCAATGATACGATTGCAGAATAATTAGTGGCCAAAATGACCCTTGAAACATTTTACTGACATTTTTCAATGCTAATTTCTCAATAACTATGGGTTTCCATAGTGTGATTTAGGGTTTGTTTGTTATTCTGAAAGTATTTAATTAGTTAAACCCTTATATTTAAATTCTGAGAAAAAATTATGTTTTGGTCGAAATTTTTAAGGTGTAAGACTTACATTTTTGGTGGTTTTTGGCCAATAATTAGATTTTGCTGAAAATAATCGTATGGGTACTCCTGTGCCTGTTGATTATGAATATGTGG